TCTAAAGTTCAAGTTAACCTAGTAATAATATGTTCAAGCCCTAAATTTCATGGGAAAATATATACATTTGCTTTCTTTTAAACTAATTTGTAGATAAAAATCTTTTAAGTCTTATACTATTTTAATTTGAAGTGGAATATCCCATGTTATATATTTTTGTACCTTTTTTTTTTTAAACTAGAAAGACTTTTTTCCCCTATAAAGCACATGTATTTGATCCTGTTGGCAAAATTCATGAAGGTGGGACTGTGATACTCTCCTTGTAAAGGGCAGAATTCTGAGAGAGTTGCTGGTGGACCCATTGGTCTGCTAGTTGAGACTTGAACAGAGGAGGGGGGCTGAGAAAGTGAACCCCTAAACTGTTTGATGCTATGTACCACAACCACCACTCACCCCCACCCCATTACTTTATTTACCCTATTTTTAGTAGTATGAGGCATTTCTGATTTGAAGGTCACTGCCTTTGTGAGGAGACATGAGGTATTGAGGCTATAATTCTTTAAAGCTGCAGGCTATAACCATAAGAGGAAAAACTCGAGAGACAAGATTAACCACTGAGAACAGTAGATAGTAAATGAGGAAAGTAGACATATGAGAGAATTCTGAGCTAACACAGATCAAAGAACAGAGCTTCAAAGGGTCACTGGAGCAGACCGACCCTCTGCGTAGTGTGGGAATTGAGAGGGATTCTTCCATTTCTTGGGTTCCTACCAGCACCACTCACCCTTTCCCAGTGGACAGGTATGTGTGATGTGTGTATTGCAAGTAAGGAAAATGAAGGGCATGGGGAGCCTGGGAAGAATTTGGGATATGAGATAAGAAGTCAGGTACATTAAGAACAAATTGTTAACTCTCTGAAGTACGCCAACCATTGATTTGCCAGATAATTCACTGCTAATCACTTCAGACACTAGTACAATTAGCGAATGAAAATGTCCAAATCCCTCAATAACATTTTTTTCATGTCCTTGCCCTGAAAAAGAATGAGCCTCACATAGCTTCACAGCTAATTTGCACTATATGATTGTCTCTTTTCCTTCTAATATCTTTAAGTTGTTAGTCTTGGGGAGATGAAAAGAATCAGAACAGAGAACAAAGAACTCTGCTCACATAGGTATTCATTTCCAACTGAAAGCATTAGGATCTCTGGAGGAAGGAAAAGTATCTGTGGTTAAGGGTTCCACCTACACACTGCCGTCAAATTCATTTTTCTCTAAGCTCAGGGTTGAATACATCATTTCTCTATTCAAATTTCTTTCATTGCCAGCCGCAGTATTTCCCACACTCCCCCCAAAAAGTTCTCAAAATTATCTTGGTAAGTATTTCTTGAGAAAAGAAATTCCAAGATCAAGTAAGTTCAAGAAATGAGTTAAGCAAAATTTCTTATGGTGGAACTTTTAAAAACGAATCAAGCATGGATTTCCAAGATGTGGGACATTTCTGAAACTTTTAAAATCATGATATTCCTTTACCCTTATCCCCCCAGTCACTCCCTGCTCCTGCCATTACCTTCCTGCCCCCAACTCCCCCAAAACCCCACCTAGAACTTTTCATGCAATTAGAATCCCATGAAACAGCCTAGGAAACCCTCACCTACTCTACGAAGAGCCTGGATGCTGGAATCAGATCTGCGTGTAAGGCCCTGTGTTACTAACTCCCACAGCCCACTGAGTTATATTAAAAAAACAATGAAAACTTAATTTTTCATATCTCTGTTTGCTTATTGGTAGAATGAGATAATAACTATTCCAGAGTTGTAAAGATTGAGTTAGTAATCTTAGGATTTAAACCTTAACTTGCTTTTCCAGCTTCATGAAGAAAGCAGGAGTGAAAGAGTGGAGGAGCCTCCAAACCATAAGTCATTGAAAGTGTTGCAAAGGCCCTGGCCAGGTGGCTCAGTTGTTTGGGTGTCATGCTGTGCACCAAAAGATGGCCTGTTCAGTTCCTGGTCAGGACATGTGACCAGGGTGTGGGTTTGATCCCTTGATTGATATTATGCTCTCACATCCATGTTTCTCTCTCTCTCTCTCTCTCTCTCTCTCTCTCTCTCTCTCTCTCTCTCTCTCTCTCTCTCAAAAAAAAACACACACAAAACACAACAATATATATATATTTAAAATGAATATTTTATTTAAAATAAGTATATATTTAAAATTAAAATATTGGGAAGGTTTTAAATAGAAATGAGTGGTTTGAATTCTCCTGCCTTCGCTAGAGCAGCTGGAAATATCCCCAGAGGCTCATACTGGCCTACCCTTATCTTAACACTTATAAATCCTACTTATCACTCATGCGTCTGCTCAAAGACTCTTTCTCAACAAGGTCCTTATCCATACCCTCACTGGCAGTTTGCAAAGTCCTTATCCATACCCTCACTGGCAGTTTGCAATAATCTTTTCATGTAAACTCTCTAGCCTTTTTTCTTTGCACTTACCACTCACTACTACAGATCAGAGTTATTTATATGCTGCTGTGTTTATTTTCCCAACTGACATCCTTCTAGGGTAGGGTTCACATCTTACCCCAGGATCATCACTTTATAGCTTACAAAGTGGATTTCTAATTACAACATCACTGTACATAAATATAGAGTTGACTTTCTTCCAAGTTAGCAGGAATCTATTATTTCAGAATTCTTTCCAAAAGTAATTTCTATCAGAGCATCGTCTGCTGCCCTCCTGTGTTTGACACAAATATAACTTTAGATCAGAACAAAAAAGAATAACTGGATCAATGAAATTTATTTGGACTCTGTTGGGAAGCATGAGACTTGGTGGAAAAGTTTGTAAGGAGGACATTATTTAAAATTTTTTTATTTTTTATTTATTTATTTTTTTTTTTAAGGAGAGGCAGAGAAAGAGAAAGTTAGAAACATTGATGAGAGAGAAACATTGATCAGCTGCCTCCTGCACACCCACTACTGGGGATGTGCCCACACCAAGGTACATGCCTGTGCCTCGCCAGCACAGCCAAGGGTATGGCGAGCTTGAGCGGGGGCGATGAAGGATGGAGAAATGATAGACAAAGAGAAAAAGCTGGGTCTAGGTGGATCTTCTGTGCCTGGCTGAGGACAGAACAAATCTAGAAGCAAAGCTGATATTTATAGTCAGGGACAAACAAGATAATCTACAATGTTGTTGTAAGTTTCACTTGTTTGGGCAGCACTTGGGGCCCTTCTCACAGCCCACTAGCTACCCAGGAAAGATGTAGGGAGCAGTTACAAGATCAAGCTTAATTATGCTTAGAGGATTGTGTCCTCAAAGCTGGAACTTGTTTGCGACTTTGCCAGCAGATCAGTCTGAGGCTTAACCCTATAACAGCTTCCTACACATGCCCTTTACCAGAATCGAACCTGGGACCCTTCATTCCACAGGCAGAGGCTCTATCCACTGAGTCAAACCGGTTAGGGCAAGGAGGACATTTTTAAAAATATATATATTTCATTGATTTTTCACTGAGAGGAAAAGAGAGGGATAGAAAGTTAGAAACATCGATCAGCTGCCTCCTGTACACCCCCCACTCCCCTGGGCATGTGCCCGCAATCAAGGTACATGCCCTTGATGGGAATCGAACCCAGGACCCTTGAGTCCGCAGGATGAAGTTCTATCCACTGAGCCAAAGCAGTTTTGGCAAAGGAAGACATTTTGATAGAAGGGAATTGCGTGGAAGGCTGCCTGCCCTGTTTATTGGAATTCTGACTTAGAGGAGACTTAGAGGTGGCGCCCCTAATTATTCCTGACCTTACCAAATAAGCCTGTACATGTGCAGACCCCTAGGTGATGGCTGGAATCTTTATGCTTAATCCCTGGATGCTCTTGCCCAGAGGACAATGTAAACTGTCCTCCCAAGATTACGTATACATCCCCGCCCTCCAGAGCCACATCTTCTAGGTAGAAATGGAAGCCCAGAGAGAGAGGCGGGTGTGGGAGGCCTGCAGGTTGACGGCAGCCTCCACCTTGGTGGAATAATTCTGATGAATTTGGGAGCTCATGGTTGTTTGGCAATAAGGAATTAAGGCAGAAAAACACGGTGTTGGCTGGTCTCAGAGGCTGAGGTAGTTCTGAAGGTGTGACTGATAAAGACAGTGGAGGGTGGTCAGAGGCTGGAAGAAGGAGTGTCCCTGGGTCTGTTTGTCCCAACACTGTTGAAGCAATAGACAGATCTGGGACTGCCAAGAGCACTGTCCTTACACTTTGAATATTTCTGTGTGTTTTTTTTTTGTTTGTTTGTTTTGTGTGGTTTTTTTTTTAAATCTGAGACAATCACTGATATGAAACTATTCTAATGTGATTTTTACATACTCAACCTATTTCCTGATGAGATCAGTGGTGATATTAATAAATGTGACTTGATATGTATAATGACATGTTGTCAACATTTAGAAAGTCTATATAACTCAGTAAGCCAATACTTTTTAAACTACTAATGCATGATGTTGCAAAATAGGCATGAGTAATAGATCTACTCAAAGTTTAAGATACACGAATACAGTTTAATGGAATAGAGACTGAAAAATTCACTGATTAAATTCCATACCATAAAACTTTTAAGAAATTACTACTTGTTGGGTTTTGCTGGTGTCAAAGATTATCCACAATTACTTGAAAAGGTTATTAAAAATGTTTCTCCCTTACTACATGAGTAGATTTTTTTCATACTTCAATGAGAACTTCATATCTCAGTAGTTTGAATGCCGAAGTAGATAGGAGAATATACTTTGGCATTCAAAGCTTAGGCAGTGAAGGTGTGCCAAATTGTTTAATAAAGACTTTTGAAAAAGGAAAAAGTGTTGCCCCGGCCAGCGTGTCTCACTGGTTTGTGTTAGGATGCATAGTGAAGGGTCTCGATTCAAGTTCGATTCCCTGTTAAGGGCACTTGGGTTGCAAATTCATCCCTCATCCAGATCAGGGAGCCTGTGATGTTATCTGAAAGGGGACCTGGCCCTTGGTGGGGTTGGTTAAGTAAAGTGTGGGTTCTTGATTTCACAATTTGAGTCCAGATGACTATGAGGGAACATTTATTAAAGCTGGAGATGTAAACAAGCAAGGGATTAACATAGAAGCAACTAGTACCGTGGTCGGCAAACTGCGGCTCGCAAGCCACATGCGGCTCTTTGGCCCCTTGAGTGTGGCTCTTCACAAAATACCACGGCCTGGGTTGAGTCTATTTTGAAGAAGTGGCGTTAGAAGAAGTTTAAGTTTAAAAAATTTGGCTCTCAAAAGAAATTTCAATCATTGTACTGTTGATATTTGGCTCTGTTGACTAATGAGTTTGCTGACCACTGGCCTAGGCTGTTCTGCCTTAGCCTCTGGGAAATCAGAAAAAAGACTTTGGGATCAGCTTCAGGGGTTAGCCTGGGACAAGCTGCTGCTGCCCGTTGCTCCTCTGGTTGCAAGTCTCCTGGGGTGAGGAACCTTTATTCTGCCATGGGCTCCTGGGTATTTATAAACCATCCAAGAGCCATACAAAATTATCAACTTAAAAATTAGCCTGCTATATTTGATCCAACATTTAATTAACTCACCCTTAATGCCTTGGCAGAGCCCTACCAAATAATAAGGCCCACAGGAAATGCATGCCTGTGGGAGAAATGGGGGGAGAAGAAAAGGGAATGGCTGGGGTGGGGGAGAGCACACACTGGGTACTTTGTCTTGAGGTCTTAGCTTCTTCTCAGCAGATGAAAATCTTAGGAGAGGGGTAGCAGAATATTCTGGTTTTCTAGGTGTGCTCCTCCAGGGCTGTGGTCTCCTCTGACTGGTGTCAGATGGTCCTGGTGTTACCCACCTGGTTTTGCTACTTTTATAGGTCTGGAGCTGAAATACAACTGAGGTCCAGATGCTACTTCCAGGGAGATGACCCCTGTATCTCCTGTAAATTGCTCTGTCCTTTTGTTTAGCTATCTATCTTTTTCCCTATTTTAATTGTTCTGGCTTACTGGCCTGTGTCTGAGGGAGGCAACCAATCAATGGGTCTCTCTCACATCAATGTTTGTCTCTCCCACTCCCCCTCTTTCACTCTCTCTAAAAAGCAATGGAAAAAATATCATTGGATAAGGATTAACAAAAACAATTTTTTTTTAAAAAGTGTTTTTTGCTAGCATGTAATGGTTTTATTACTGTCGTTTTAAATAAATTACATTTTTAAATTTTCTAGCAGTCACAAATCTCATTAACAAAGGCTCTGTAGGGTATTCAAGAACTTGTAGGAATGTAATGGAATCCCAAGGCCTATATGCTTGAGAACCACTGATCTAAAACATGACAGATCTTAGAAGGAGAAACAATTGTAATAACCTGAGCAATAAAGATTTATTAAAATAAATAAATAAAATAAAGAATACCCTTCAGCATTTCATGAAAAAAACAAAAAACATGACAGATATTATCTACACTAATGAAAGAGAAACATGCAAATCAACCATCCCTCCACTATGCCCACCAGCCAATCAGGAGCGAGTATGCAAATTAGCCCAACAAAGATGTTGGCAGCTATGGAGCTGGAGCAAGTAGGAGGCTTGGGTTGCTCCTGGCGATAGAGGGAGCCAAGCTTCCTGCCTGCCCTGGTCACTGCTGAAGGAGTGGCTGGAAAAAAAAAAGGGGGAGTGGGGAAGATGGGTCGCTGGGGGGCATGGCCAGCCTGAAAATGGCCCTCAGCCTCTCACCCAGGCTAGCCACGCCTCCCCCCCCCCCCAGCAGGGACCCTCACCCTATGGGAATGTGGCCAGCCTGTAAACCACCACAGGCCCCTCCCTAGGCTGCCCTAAGCCCAAAGGAAAACCTCACTCTGATCCAGTACACCCTTCAGGGAAAACCAGCCAGCCCCCATCCATGCACCAGGCCTCTATCTATACTAATAAAAGGGTAATATGCTAATTAGACTGGGAGACCTTCCGGATGTTCTTCTGGACAAAGCCATGATGGTGGGGCCAAGGTAGAGGCAGTTAGAGACCAAGAAGGGAGGACAGTTGTAGATGATTAGGTCAGGGTGGGATGGCAGTTGTGGGTGATCAGGCCAGTTGGGGGGGGGGGGGGGGGGGGGGGCAGTTTGGAGTGAGCAGGCCAGTGGAGAGGGAAGGTGGGGGTGAGCAGGCCAGCAGGGCGGACGGGCAGTTGGGGTTGAGCACACTAGCATGGGGGGGGGGGGGGGGGACACGACAGTTGGGGATGATCAGGCCAGCAGGCAGAGTGGTTAGGGAAAAATCAGGCAAGTGAGCAGTTAGGAGCCAGCAGTCCTGGATTGCGAGAGGGATGTCCAACTGCCGGTTTAGGCCCGATCCCTGTAAACGGGCAGTAGGACATCCTTTGAGGGGTCCCAGATTGGAGAGGGTGCAGGCCAGGCTGAGGGACACCCCCTTTCCCACCGCATGCACAAATTTTGTGCACTGGGCTGATAGTCACTTAATAAATTTGCAATGGCTCCCAATCTCCTTCAGGGTAAAAGTCAAAGTCCTTACATTGGCCTACTAGACTCTTACCTGTTCCCTATTACTTGTCTCTCTACTCTTTCCCTTGCTCACTCCCTGCAGCCATACACTTCTCTGCTACTCCTCCAACAAACCAGACACAATCCCAGCGTTAGAGGACCATTGCACTGGCTGTTCCCTTTGCCTGGAAAGTGATTTCCTCAGTGTTCTCTATGGCTATTACCCTCACTTCCTTAAAGTCATGCTCAAATGTCACCATCTCAATAATCCAACATAAGCATTCTATTTAAAATCGCAACCCTACCTACTCCCATCCTCTCTACATTTGCTTATGTCTACAGTTCGTGTGGCCCTGAAGCCTGAAACAATGCCTACCCTATATGGCTCAACAATATTTGTTGAGTGTTGAATGAATGAAAACTCTTTTGACAACTTGTCATTTCTCATGACATGTCCACAAAGTCCCAAGAGAAAGAGAAGATGCAATATCAGAGAGAAAAGAGGGCAAAAAGGCTTTTTGAGAGGGAGAAAAAGAAGGTGGGATACAATGATCACAAACCTCAATACTTAAGGCATTATGGGCCTGAAAAGGGCTCTTAGGAGAAGTCAGGGTGGGATAATATTTTAAGGCTCTGCACGGCGGATTTAAATGTCAGGCAAAGATCACTGCGCCCATACCCCTACCCACGTTTCTGGTTCGGACTCCCAACAAACTGCAGTCCCCAGAGCCCTCCCCGGACCCCTCCACTCGAACACAAGCAGCCCACACCAAGAGATTGAACATTTTTCTCAACTTTATGGAAAAAATCAACAGCGACAATCAACTAGCTAAAGGCGAGCCTCCCTATCCCGTCACAGTCCAGTGCTGTCTCCCCCCAACGTTCCCTGGCTTTGGGGTCGCCAAGGTCCCAGTTCGCAGGGGCCCTGCCCGTCTCCCCAACGCTGGGTTCCGAGGGTCCACACGAAGGCAGGTCTGCCCAGGGAGAGCAGGAGACGCCGGGGGGCATGCAGAATCGGTCCTCTTGGGTCAGGGGCAGCGGGAGGGACGGCACACTGGAGGAACACGGTGCTCCCCCGCTTACAGGGCAGGGCCTCAGTTCTCCTCGGGCTTGTCGGCTGGCGGCCCGCAAGGCTGCAGCATCTTCTCCATCAGGTTGAAGCGGACTCGCGCTTTGCTCTCATTCTCCGCGATGGCGAAGTAGTTGAGGAGGTCGAAGTGGCCCATGTAGGAGCAGTAGGAGTCGCGGTGCTGGTTCACCAGCCATTCCCACTTGGTGGTGTCGGCGTGGCCCGTGCCGATGTACTTGGACTGCAGGTGCTCCAGCTGGCTGTGGATGGTGTAGCGGTCCGTCATCTCGCCGCTTTCCTTGTCGCTCCCAGGTCAGGGGCTGCGGAGACAGGGAACCGTTCTAGAAAGCCACGCCGGGAGAGGGACCACTTCCCCGAACCTGCGAGCCGGTACCGTCGCGGGCGAGTGACGTCTCCGAGACGAAGCTGCGCACACTCGCGGCTCGGGGACTCGGAGACGGAAGCGGAAGTGTATTCTGTCCCGTCATTGGAGCTGCCTAGGCGACGCTATAAGTCGGCTGCCCCTGTCGAGAGTCCCGCCTCCTTTCGGAGAGCGTTGCATGATGGTCCACTGAGTGGCGCTTTTTCTTACAGGGATGGTTGCATGCTGGGACTTGTAGTCCCCGGAGCCTCCTGAGTGCAAACTTCTAGGAGTCCTCACCGCTGGGAGGGCGTGGTCGAGACGGTTTGCGTGCTTAGGCGGTTTGGAACCGACAGGAAAGGGAGAAACTTTCAAGTGGGATATGATAGGCAACTTGGGAAATGAACTTGATGTAATTTTGATTTCATCTACTTCCTAATTAGAGGGAGATTACCATGAAGTCAGGAGTAATCTGGTCCTTACTAGTCCTGCTCAGCGAAAGTTATGTCAACGCTTGCAGGGCCGCCGTTTCCTGCCTGTAGAACAAAGTAAAGTACCAGTTCCGACACTTCCGGTCCCCTCCATCAAGTCCCCCTTCCTCCAGCTTCTAATTTTGATATCCTCCTTCCAGCCATCACTCCACCCCACCCTGCCAGCCCGTGCTCCTCGGCGCTCCGTGCTGCTCGCCTCCCAAGTTCCCTGCACAGGTTGTTCCCTCCGCCTGGAATGCCTTTGAACCCTTGGCGGGCGCTTCCCCTTTAGGTCAGCTCCGAGGCATCTCCTTGAAATCGGCTTTGGCTACCCCGACAGATGCAAATTCCCCCCCTCTTTGCAACATGGATGTCGTCTCTTCGTTATTATCTCTTTATATCACATCTATTTTTTTTTCCTTCTTTTTTTCTTTTTTTGGTTTAACAACTTCCTCACACGAATACAATTTGCTTGAGAAAGTTTACTTTTTTTATATCTTTTATCATATGCTTCTTTTATGATATCCTCATAATCTGGCAGAGATTGTATTCTCAAAATACATTTGATGAATGGGTAAACAACTGCGTGACAGCCAAATGGAAAGAATTCTTTCCTGGGAGAAAGATAACTTTAAAACAGTTTGAAAAGTTACAAACTATATAGTTACGGTAATACTGTATTGAATATTGGAGATTTTCTAAGTGTAGATGTCAGGTGTTGTCACCACACACACAAAAAGGGTAACTATGTGAGGAAATAGATATGTTAATTACCTTGACTGTAGTAATCATTATAGTCCACATTTTAAGTAGGTATAAACAATTTTTAATTTTAAAAGAAGAAAAAAAGCAAGCAAAAATATTCTTTATGAGATCAAATGTACCAAAAATGAAAAGAAAAAAAAAACTTTTATTCTTCAGATTAAGCCTTGTTATGACAAACATTTCATTCCTAAAACGTACAGAGACTATGAATTCACCGTCCAGATATATCAAACATTGCCATTTTGCCATTTTTGTTTCCAACTTCATTTTATTTATTTATTTATTTATTTATTTATTTATTTAGAAGTAAATCTATGGAAACAAACTTGAAGTTCTCTGTGTTCCCCTAATCTACTCAAGATACTATCTTGAATTTAGAGTTAATTGTTTCTGAGCCTGGTTTTTTGTTTTATTGCTGAGAGTTTGTGCATCCACACACAATAGTGTTATTGTTATGCACATTTTAAAGCAGGCGTGGGGAACCTTTTTTCTGCCAATGCCATTTGGACATTTATAACATCATTCTTGGGCCATATTATCAACTTAAAAATTAGCCTGCTGTATTTGATCAAACATTTCAGTAACTCACCCCTAAGGCCTTGGCAGAGCCAGACCTAAGGATTTCTCGGTGCTTGTACTGCCTTTGGATCGGATGTTCCCCAACCCTGTTTTAAAGCTTTGTATAAATGACGCTCTGTATATGTGTAGTTATGAAAGTTGCTTTTTCCCTCCCAAAGCATGATGTCCTCAGACATTAAAAAAATTTTCAAATCTGATGGGTTGAATGAATTTCATTGTGCCTTTAATTTTCATATCTCTGCTAGTTACTGGGGAGACTGTCTTTTTTTATATGAAAAAGCTCTTGTGTTAGTATTTATTTACTTAAAATTTATCTTTATTTTTTTGTAAAAATTCTTTATTGTTGAAAGTAATGTCCCCTTTACCTTTATTGACCCCCCCCACCCCCACCAACTCATGTGGAGTATCTTTTTAATGTATTTATTTATGCTCTATGCATATTCATATTCTTTGCCCATTTTTAATTGAAATTTGGGGTTTTTTAAGTAATTTTTTAAGAAGATATTTGTATAGTCAGAATACTAGGCTTGTCAGTATGCAATGAAAATCTTCTATGCAATGAAAAGATGCAATGAAAATCTTTTATTTTATTATTATTTTTAAATCTTATATCTCCGTAGGAAACATAGCACTATTATTGTATCTACTATATCCTATGGATAAACAACTGTATGACAGCCAAATGGAAAGAACTCTTTACTGGGAGAAAGATAACTCTAAAACAGTCTATTGCATCCAATGGAGAACTTCAATCTTAGGTGAGGGCATTAAGAGCTCCTGGTTTTGGTCCCACAAGCTCTTTGAAATGTCCCATATGAAAATCTTTTTTTTTTTTTTTTTTTTCCTGTTCTGTGGTTTATCTCTACCCTTTCTTTATGGCATAATTTGTTGTACACAAGTTAATTTTAAAGTGGTCAAATGTGTCAGCCTTCCTTCATGTTTTGTGGCTTTTGCATTTGGTTTTAAAAAATAAAATCAAGCAAAACTTTTTCTACCATTGGGTCATAAAAAGAATTGTGTTTTGTTTTTGTTTTTTTCCATTGTCTTCTAACAGTTTTGGCATTTTGTTTTCTTTAAAATATTTATTGTTTCAATCCCACCTGGAAATTTTCGTTTTGCTTTATTTTGCTTTAGGGCAGGGATTTTCAGCTGGGGGCCCTCAAGAATTGCACTGGTGTGCTGCTAGAATTTTTAAAACATCTAATACCTGATTGTTTAATCAGGAGCACTGACCTCTTTCCCCCTAGATTGTCAAATTAAAAAAAAAAAATGACAACAGCCAACACAACAGTAACCATCTCGTGTGAGTGAATCAAAATTATACATACATACATATATATATATATATATATATATTTTTTTATTTTTATTTTTTTTTTGTCAGATTGGGAGGAAAAATACAATATATTTTTTGGTGTGCTATAAATTTTAGTAATTACTTTATGTGGGCCATGAAATTAAAAGTTGTTGCTTTAGGGATTTAATTTTTTAATACTTTCCTATAGGGTTAACTAGTTCCCAGTAATAACCAATCATTCATTAAACAGTACATCCTTTCCCTACTCATCTTTAGCGCTTCTTTTGTAAATGGATAGGTCTGTTTGTGGGTATTCTGTTCCATTATTCTTAGTCTATGCCCACAGTAGTAACACAAGATTCTGGTTAATGCAACTTTATAACAAATCTTCATATCTGACAGGTGAAAGCCTATACAATTTTCTCCTTTCATAAATGTAACATTTTGGATCCTTTGCTCTTCTCCCTGAATTTAGAATTGTCAGTAAAATCCTTATGGAAATTGTGATTGACTAGTCAAACAAAGCCATGAAAATTAATATTATTTCCATATCATGAAGAGTGACTAAGGATATGAGGGAATTCCTCCAATTCAAAGTAATACACTTACATTTGCATGCATTAATTAAAAGCCAAAGTGTATTAGTTTCTCAGGGCTCCCAAAACAAACACACACAGACAGGTGACTTGAAAAATAGAAATTCATTCCCTTACAGTTCTGGAGGCTAGAAGTACAAAATCAAGATGGCAGGGCTGCTTTTATTTTTAGGTCTTCCTCCTGGTTTGCTTGCTGATGGCCATTTTCTCTCTGTGTCTTCACATGGTTTTCCTCTGTGTGTGTCTGTGTCTTAATCTTCTTATCTCCAAATGCAGCCACATTCTGGATTACTGGGGGTTAGGACTTCCACACAAGAATTGTGAGGTGTCGCACTTCAGCTGTGGAATATGTACATTTTCTTCTTACAAAATTTAAATTTAATTAATTAGCTTTGTGAAAATAATTTAGGCATGTGAAAAGATTTTATTTTTTAAAACAGACCACAGTATTTACAAGAAAAACGAATGTGTTACATTCAGTGTGATTTAAAATGTTTGAGAGTTAAAATTTGGAGTGGAACTAAATTTTACCCAAAGACCCCTTAAAAGTGATTGTGAAAATTTGCTAGATTTATAGTTTGGGATTCTTAGCTGATTATAAAAGCTTAAGGAGAGAGGCAGTTTTTTGATTTGTAATTTTACTACATCAAACATTAATTTAAAAAAAACCTAAATAAATCTCTGAAGCGTGCTTTCTGTATCCCCCAAAATGATCCTCAAAGGCAAAAAAGAAAAACTCTGCTTCAATATTTTAACTGTAATTACATTGAGTTTATAGACTTATTTGGGGAAAGTTGTCATCATAACTATATTGAATTTTCTCACCTATGCACATAGCATATATTTCCATTTATCTCTACTTCTTTGACTTTAAAAAAAACTTGTATAATTTTCAGTTAGGTCTTTCACATTTTCTCTAAGATTTACTCCTGGGTATTGGCTATGTGCAGGGTTGGACAAAAGTAGGTTTACAGTTGTGAGTATGCAAAACAGTTTATTCTTGTATTTTTATTAATTATTGTATTATTTTCCATATGAACTGTAAACCTACTTTTGCCCCCACCCTGCTTACTTAAAGATATTCTTTATGAGTCTTAAATTATGACCTAGTATGGAATAATCACAGTTTCTTTACATTTACTGCAAATAAAGAATTTTGGTCTGGAACCAGTGAACTTGTTATCAAGACGTGCCAGGACAGCTGTGACTATTTCATGCTCCAAGATATAGCCTCAAGTTAATCCTGTCAGTTGGGCTGCTTCTATGTAACTATCAAATGCTGTCTTACAGTTTGGCATTTGAGTAAGAAAAAAGATATGTAAGAAAAGATTCCATGGGAAAAGATAATCTTT